AAGTTTTCAAAGTTTAAAGTAACTTATCTCGTAAAAGATAAACGGCGTGCTATAAAGTATGAACTTTAACAACATAAAACTTCAACTTTTTTTTTCAGATAGTGTAGTCTCCATTCCCTAATAATTTCAAAACTCTTAGTCATATCTCTAAAGCACTCTAAGTGCTTATATTTAAAACTAAGAATTATATTTCAACCAAGAATTATTTAGTGACTCTTCTAACCAAGCTGGGTGTGATATGGTTAGATAGTTAGGGCGCTCAGCTCGCAATTTCCAGTTCGCGGGTTCGATTCCCCGTTACCGAACATGCAGTGGAGGCGTTATAAAGTGTCGGTCAATCCCACTATTCGTTGGTAAGAGAGTAAACCCGAGAGTTTGCGGTGAGTGGTGATGACTAACTGCCTTCCCTCTAGTCTTTTACTGCTAAAATAGGGAAGGCTGGTGCAGGTAACCCTCGTGTAACTTTGCGCGAGTTTCAAACTAAACTAACCAAGATTTATTTAGTAACTCTTCTCATTCCACCTACGATAATTTAGGAAAACCCAATGTAAGTATTTTAAATGAGGTTGAGTATCTAATTTAGCTTTCATATTAAATTTACTTTAAATAGATCTCTACATTCTGTTTTGTATAAGTGTAGCCTAAAGTTCGGCAAAATATTTGTAAATTTACAACTGACAAACACATTTTAAAATTATTTAAACCACATATAATCTTCCCAAATAAAATTAAGCTTCATGCATATGTTCCGAACTACATCACAAAGGATCTAAAAGACAATAACAAAACCCCCTCTAATAAGTAAGAGATCGATGACGTCGTCACTCTGTATTTTTATACCCAGCTATGTTTTATGTATTTTTAAACATATTCTCCTGCATGAGGCAATGACCAAACTACTTGTTACCAAAAAAATTTAGACAAATTTACTAAAAACAACAACAACAATTATTCATTTTCCTGCGCTCTACGCCTCTATTTGTTAAAAACATTAATTTTCTTATTCATTTCTATTTCAGAACAAGATAAAATTTCGAAATATGAATTTCTGTAAGGCTTAATATTTCAAATAGTTACTGGTATTTTGTTCCAAAGAGTATTCATCAAATCTTTCTCTCCAAACAGCTGTATAATTTTTGATAGCTTTTTAAACAAGCATTTACTTCTTACATTCACTTATTTATAGTAAAGTAACCTCAAAAATCGGATATTATGTTGATTTACGTAACTTTAAGTGTCACAGTTAAAAGAGCTTCTATATTTCACCCTTACATAGCTAAATTATATATGTCTTTATTTAGATATATTAAGGAAATTTTCTAAATTTCGTGCAGGTCTACTGTATATATTAGGTCGTCAAGAAATTAATGTCGCGTTTTGGAACACTTT